GCTCCTAACACCAATCCCTAAGCATGGATCCAAAACCCTATATGCGGTTTCCGAAAATAGGGGTACCCTCTTCGGGGGTCCTAGAATGAGGATTATACTATTTTGGGGTACATGAAGGGTGTCCCCTGGAAATGCAAATACCTATTTACCTGGTGGGAGAGAGGGTGAGGGGCTTGTATGGGCTTCTCTGCAATATGGCTCCATTGTACGTAGCACACCCCTATGGTTAAGGTACCCAGAATCGGACCAACCCCATGTAGTTAAGGGGCATAGCCGGGCATAGCTATTGAGATCCCGAAATGTCTTCCTTAAACCCAAAACAATACATCCTGCACCCTAATGCGCACAAAGCACAAAATGGAGATGCTAGGAACCCGAGGGGGGTTTAGGGTTTACACAAGGGTTCAGAGTTTAGGGTGTAGGGTTTAGGGTTTAGGGTTAGGGACGAAAACCGAGCCCAAAACTATCTACTTCGATCATCTCCACCCTACAGGTTCTCTGATGTAGGAGCCATCCTACCATTGTCGGACAGGTAATTCTTACAGATACCTCACCGCATCTCCGCGCAATCCTCATTGGCACTCCAGTTCTACTCTGCAGGACTCTGTGCGGACATCTTTGGGGGCTCCAAAACTGACACCCCCCACCCCCCCCCCCCCCACAACCTGATAACCCTAAACCTTAAACCCTAAACCCTAGACCCTAAACCCAAATACCCTCATACCCCTCATACCCCTCATACCCCTCATACCCCTCATACCCCGCATACCCCTCATACCCCTCATACCCCACATACCCCTCATACCCCTCATACCCCTAATAACCCTAATAACCCTAAAAGCCCTGATAACCCTAACATCTCTAACAACCCTAATGGCCCTAAACCATAATTACACCCTAAACTCTAGTAACTCCAACAGCCCTAATAACCCTAAACCCAATTAACCCTAACTACACCCTAATAACCCTAAACCCGAAATCCTAATAACCCTAAACCCTAACCCTAAACCCTAGTAACACTACACCCTGAATCCTAAACCCTAAACCCTAAACCCTAAACCCTAAACCCTAAACCCTAAAACCCCACGGATTGACCTCGGAGAGCCGCGCCGATTCCTTGTGGCGCCGGAGCAGCCCCGCCGCCGCCTCGCACCGCGGGTCTCCGACGGGGTTGCGGTTTAGGGTTTAGGGTTTAGGGTTTAGGGTTTAGGGTTTAGGGTTTAGGGTTTAGGGTTTAGGGTTTAGGGTTTAGGGTTTAGGGTTTAGGGTTTAGGGTTTCGGGTTTCGGGTTTAGGGTTTAGGGTCACTGAAGGACTGCGAGCTTTGAGGCTTCTAGGGTTTAAGCGGTTTACAGGGTTTGTGTTGACAGGGTTCTTAGGGTTTATAGGGTTTATAGGGGTTACAGGCTTTATAATGTTCTTAGGGTTCTTAGGGTTTATAGGGTGTACAGGGTTTACAGGGTTTCTAGGGTTTCTAGGGTTTCTAGGGTTTATAGGGTTTATAGGGTTTATAGGGTTTATAGGGTTCATAGGGTTTATAGGGTGTAGAGAAAAATGTTAACGTGAAAGTGTTATGGAAAGCTGAAGGCTTCCTACTCAGCACCCCAGCAAGGTCTTGGCAGTCGAGGGGTATGAACTACAAAAGCCCTATAAAGACCTTTTAAAAACACCGCCCTAAAAAAGCCCCATGAAGGCCCCTAAAGCCCTGTAAAGCCCTTTTTTAACATGCGGGATTTTATGGGTTTGGGGCCTATGGGGTAGCAAAGGAGCTACGTGCAGACCTCCCGAAGTCAGTGGATCTATTTTCGCGCGCCTGCATTCTCAACTAAAGTGCAGCACATCGCTCTGCGATGCTCGTGCGAGTGCACGGCTCCATCCAACCAAGCCCTAATTACGCCACATGCGCCAAACAAAGAAACCCAAGACCCTAAACCCGCATGTTCAGGAGGTTGGGGGCTGCCAGAAGCATGAAAGACCTAGGACCTAAACCGGCAGAGCCGTGCCTGGTGAAACAACTCATTAACCTCTCCTCAAACCCTAAACCCCTCACCCGAAACCCGAAGCCCTAAACCCCTGCACCCGAAAAACCCGAAACCCTCTACCCTCTCACTCCCCGAATTCAGCTTCGCCGCTCAACAACAGGCCTCACATCATGAGGCGAGTCAACTAGACCCAAGAGTGGCCCAGGAATAAAACGTGTATGAAAGGGGCTTATAAGGGAGCCACCCTAAACCCTAAACCCTAAACCCCAAACCCCAAACCCCAAACCCCAAACCCCAAACCCCAAACCCTAAACCCTAAACCCTAAACCCGAATTCTGGGTCCGAGTCAATGACTGAGGGCTCGGGGCTTCGCTTTGTTTGGGCTTTAAGGGTTTCAGGGTTTTACGGGCTTCTTGAGGGTTTAGGGTTTAGGGTTTTTAGGGTTTAAAGGCTTCTAAGGGCTTCTTTAGGGTTCGACGGGTTTTAAGTGTTGTTAAGGGTTTCAGGGTTTTAAGGTCTTCTTGAGGGCTTTAAGGTTTCTAAGGGCTTCTTTAGGGTTCGACGGGTTTTAAGTGATTTTAAGGGTTTCAGGGTCTTAAGGGCTTCTTGAGGGTTTTAAGGCTTTAAGGGCTCTAAGGGTTCAGGGTTTTAGGGGCCTTTTGAGGGTTTGAAGGCTTTAAGGGCACTAAGGGCTCTAAGAGTTTTAAGGGTTTCAAGCGTTTTAAGGGCTTCTTTAGGGCTTTAAGGTTTTAAGGTTTAGTATTCGTTTTAATTTTCAGGGGCGTTCTTGAAGGTTCTTTGCATCCGTTGGGGTTGTAGTGGGTCCCGAGACCGAAACTCCAACCCGCACTCCAAAACTTCAGGGTCTAGGGTTTAGGGTTTAGGGTTTAGGGTTTAGGGTTTAGGATTTAGGGTTATAAACCCTAAACCCTCAACCCTACACTCTACA